TGGCAGGAGGACAGGGGGAATAAAGCAACTTGGAGATAAGAAAAATCTGAGTTGAGAAGTGTTTGAGTTCTTACAAAGGTTGGTACTCCTTCTCTAAGAATGCTATACTGCATGCTGAAATGTCGTAAGATAGCCCATGCTTATCACTGTTTCATGGTCTTGAAATGTTAAAGAACTGCCAACCTGACAGAAGCCCAGAGAGGGACTTTAAAACAATTTGAAAGACCAATGGAATGGGTTCTTGGAACAAAACCCAGTTTCCACTTTGTTGGGCCCAGTATATTATTTAGCAAAATAGAAAATGTGAGCATTTCTGAGGTGCTCTGGCCTCAACTATTTCCCAACATATATGCCCGAATGGTCAGAGGAACCTTACTAGTCTGAAGACTACTTAAAGCAGCTTTCATCAGATATTTAACAGGAGTAACTAATGTAAAGGTCAAAATACTTGGCTTGAGGCCAAGGTAGGAATAAAGTCAAGAAAGCAAAATACGTGGGCTTATTTTGTAACTTTTCCTAATGTGTATTTGCTATACACTTCTGTATCTTAAAATGGCGCTCTGATGGTGCACAGCTCTGATTATGAACTCCTTCCTTTGACTTTGAATATGCTAATCTCCAACTTACTAGCCCTCTGAGCCTTCTGAGTTGTTGACCTAACTCAGCTTGAACTAGGAAGTTCAGAGATGCTGTTAAAACTGACACACATCTCATACGGCAACTAGGTGTTACGTTGCATTATTTTCTTCACATTGTGTTAAAAATGTAGGGTTGGGATTTAGCTTGAGGAGATCAAAGGTATGCTGACTTTCCCACTCTAGTAGTGGAGCATAAGGATGACAATAAGAACAGGGTAAAACTTAGGAAAATTTTCCTGGGTGTTGAGAGATGTTCTAGATTAAGACTGCAGCATGTTATTTGAAGCAGAAAGTTAGGACACTGTCTATGATGCTTTTTTTGGGGAGGGTGGGGTGTTTAAGAATACTTCATATACACATCACTGAGGCATTTAGGAGTGAATTGACTAGTTATTTCTTTTTGCTTGTTTTTTGTTTGGCTTTCTGCTAATCTAATTTCTGTTTAATCAACAGAGATGCTGTTCAAGTAAACGTGACTGCCACACAACAGCTCCTCTTCTTGGCACAGCAAATGAAGAATCTGGAAGTGTTCATGCACGTTTCGACTGCCTATGCATATTGCAATCGAAAACAGATTGAGGAAATAGTTTATCCACCTCCTGTTGATCCCAAGAAACTGATAGATTCTCTGGAGTATGTGTTATGTTTTAGGAAGCTACTTCAGTAATCTGTAACCATTTGCTTTCTAGTAATTAAGTACCAAAAAATGGTTAGGAACCTGAAAGAAGAAGAAATTAGCTTTTGTTCTTTAAGTCTGATGGTGTGGCTGATACTTCCCTTCTTTGTGAAGGAGCTGGGCTAAGGTTTTATGGTCCCTTTCAGCTGAGCTTGGTGTAGAGTAGTACTGAAGGAGGGGGATGCTCATATCTATTCATGATGCTTCCTATATGCCGAGAGTAGCAGTTTTTCAGCTGTATGATGAGCTGAATAGGGAGCTATTAAAAATAAAAAAGCTGTGCTGTTACAAGTATGCTGGCACTGTCATTGTGAAGGAAAGGGATAAAAGCAAAACAGCCCCCTTTAACAGCAGCCTCTGGTACATCCACCTAAATGCCACAGCAAGATCAGTCTGAGATACTGTAGTAGTAATATTTAACTGCTCTGAAACACAACTGTAGAAGTAGTTCTGTTAAGTATTCAGCATGCAAACATTAAAAATCTGTTTCTATAGCTTTTTAGTCTTGAATTGGGCATTACTGGGGGGAAAGTTACTCATTCTGTAGTTTATTTTCTGTGTATATTACCTGTCCTGAGGTCTTATTTAGTAGCTGTCAAACCCAGTCTGAAATGGGTAGCAAATATGGGATAAGTCAAGTGTAATTTAATAAATGATGTCATCTCTAAATCAGTCTCTCCTTTCTTCCCTGTCGTACAAAATATCACCCTTTGTAAGAGAAGTATGAAACTAAAAATAATAAATTAAAATATCTTCTTTAATTTGTTGTTATAGATGGAAAAGCCACCAACCTTAAGAACAAATGAACTACTACCTAGAATGCATGTTGAGCCAACTGTTTTTAATAATGCTAACTTTAAGTACACTTTCAAACGAGATATTCTGAAATAGTTGTATTTTTGTTTTATCTCTTCATAAGCAGGATAAATATAACTTAAACTGCTTGGTTTGGATTTGAATGGCTGTATGTATTTTAGAACTCATGGCAATGAGGGAAGGCTTTTGTAAACTTATACAAGGGTGATGTCTCTAGCCAACAGCTGAGATGTAGATTTGTGTCCCCTTCTGGGCTTTTCTACCCCTCTTCCCACCACAATTCATATCATGAAGACAGTCTGATGCACGTCAGTTTTGATTGTAAGAGAACATTGGTGAATAAAAGTAAGTGTTGGCTAAATTCCATTTATGTGGCTAAGATGTTGGGTGACTAAGGCAAATAAAATCAAAGTCCTATTTTGAAGAGGAGAGCACCAAAGCAGCAATAGTTACAAGCACACTTCTGTTGTGCTTGTGTGCTATGACTGAAGGTTATTAAAATTTTAAATACAAACTGCTGAATGAATCAGGAAGCAAGATGAAGTTGCAAGACTTCACTAAATTAAGGGGAGAAACGTGGTGACCCAGTTTGCTTCAGAGGTGTAGGATTGCTTAAGGCCACAAATGTGGAGGTGATGCTCGTAATGCAGCTGGGACTCCTTTCCAGTGGCATCCCTTTCTAGATTGCTTAATGCTAACTGAGGAGCAGTGTACCTGTCCCCCAAAGACTAACTTGCTGTGTCTGCACTTCATGTTTGAGAACTTAGTTGATAGAAGTAAAGGAATATACTACTTGTCCAATAGTTGGTGTGTAACAAATGAATTACTTGGGGGTGGGGGGGGGAAGCAAGCAGCAGTATACTTCTTTCAATGAACACTAAAGGTGTAACCCTCCTGAGAAACTTGTTTTCATTTTGGTCTGTATTCCTTTTCCTTTAAAGGAAAAAAAAAATATGGTAACCTTAACAACAAAAGAAAAGATTTAATATTTAATGAAGCTCATGTGGTATACTATAGACAGTATATTTATGGAATAGTTCCAAATCACTTTTGGAACATGTTCTGATGAAAGTGTTTTGTTGTTTAGTTTTTTGTGGGTTTTCTTTTGTTCTTGGCATTTACTCTCAAATGTTTAGGTTTTATGGTTTAATTTGAAACAAAATGAGCATGAAGTCAGTATAAACAGTCTTCTTTAAGCTGGTAGTAATGTCCTTAAACAAGCTAGCCTAAGTGTACTGCTGCTGTAGGATTTCACATATAACATTCTTAAGTTCCCTTTTCAGAAGGGTTCTACCTATGCAGTTGCCACCTTTAAGTTAAATAGTAGTGTATGATCAAAATGAGTAATGGGCTTTATTAAACTTGATTTTCCCCCGGCCTCTGGTATTGGCCTTCAGTTTGAGTCAGGGGTTTTTGCTTATATTTTGATGCATAGTATTGTAGGAGGCTGTGTGGTTTTAAAGTTAAGCACAGTATAAGCTGTCAGCAGCCATTTATTGCTTGATATGCAAATGCTTATGGAAATGTTTTACAATTTCCAGCTGTTTAAAGTAGAAGGAAGTATCTGGCATGCTAACTTCAGTGGGAGTTGGTGTTAAATTCTGAAAATTAATCTGAGATTTAAAGTGTACTAGTTTAGATAGTGGGGTGTTGCAGAAACATGAAATACAGAACTGAGTTTTTAATTGTTGCCTAAATTTCTTCACAGAATATCTTGTTCCTCAATGCTGATGCAACTTCTAGGTGAATGCTGATGCTTTGCTGTTGGGTTGTTGGTTGGTTTTTTGAGGGCTTTTTTTTTTTTCCTTGGGTGATTTTTGAAGAAGATATTGGAGTTTAATTTTACTTCCAGAAGTGTTTTTCATTTATCTGGTTATCCTTTTTATGTATTGCTTTTGCCCCCCTCACAGAAGCAGCATGCAATAATTTACACTTGCCTCTTATTTTGTTTCTTTAGGTGGATGGATGATGGCCTAGTAAATGATATTACTCCTAAACTAATAGGCGACAGACCTAATACTTACACATATACAAAAGCCTTAGCTGAATATATGGTACAACAAGAAGGTGCAAAATTAAACACAGCCATTATAAGACCATCTATTGTTGGTGCTAGCTGGAAGGAGCCTTTTCCTGTAAGTCATTGAGTTTTTCACTTGACCATCTTGCCTAGTAAACTGTAGTACATACTGACAGCCTGTTTATCTAGTGACCTTCATAGAAGAAAATCTTTTATACAATGAAGCTGTGGCTTGGTTGCTTCTGGGTAACAACTCTAATAAAAAAGCTGCCAAATACAGTATTCTTATGTGGGAAATTTAGGGGTAAATTCCTTCTAATCATAGAATAATACACTTTTATCACAATGGGATATACTATTTAACACATGAAATTAATGGTTACCTTTTTACTTTATGATTCTGTGTATCTTCACCTGTTTTACCCTCTTCAAGATGCTTTGGTATATCAGTAGCTGCAAAGAATGACTAAGAAAACTGGGGACTGCAGGACATAAAGATGTGTTTGCTCTACTTCTTTTAGCCAAACCCGTAAGCTTTGCAGGGGATAGCATAAGTTTTATTACTGTATGCTATATTGATCTATAGTATATATGCGATATGCTTCCTCCTGTACAGGAGACTGGTGTTGGAGTAGCTTCTCCAGTTCAAGACAGAATGTGTCTCAAGCTCTTAAAATCCATGTAATTGACTTTGCATACCTTTTAGAATATATACAATGTATATGTCAAACCAGTAAGTATATAGTGTCTGAATACTGTCATTAAAGATGAGGAAGAATGTCTTCTGTTTGAAAAATGAAAAAACTAATAATCAGTAGCAAAAATGCTTGTCTATTTTCCAGTCTAAAAATACTTGTAAACTTGAATACTTTCAACATAAACATACAGATAGTGGTCTCCAGTTTATTCACTAAGAAATAAAGAAACTAGCATCTCACTTTGAAGTACCAGTGAATCTAGGGTAGGTCTATTGTGTGAGTCATAGCAACTTTTTACATCACCAGATTTACTTATGGAAGAGCTTCATTTAGAGACATGGAAATTAATATCTTTCTCCTCTTTATTCTCTTTTTCTTCCACCCCTTAAGCGTGTAGAAAGTTCTCAAACTTTCACTTGAAACTGCTGACTTCAGCATACTCTAACCAAATCCTTTCCCTCTCCCCCTGTTCATAATAGGGATGGATTGACAACTTCAATGGACCTAGTGGTCTCTTCATTGCTGTAAGTAATGAATATACTTAATTTTTCCCCCCCTCTCTTTGGAAGGCAGCAAAGCTTCATATGTTTTACTGGTGGATCTTCTGTCTCTGTTGTTTTGTTCTTTAAGGCAGGAAAAGGAATTCTTCGAACAATGCGAGCTTCCAACAATGCAGTAGCAGATCTTGTACCAGTAGATGTTGTCGTCAATACGACACTGGCTGCAGCCTGGTATTCTGGAGTTAATAGGTAAAACAGATGACAATAGAGAGCACCAAATATTTTGAAATGGTATTGTGTATTTCAATGAATCAGTCTTCTGTTGAACTTCTAACCAGTATCCGGCTGTTTCCCCGAGGCAAGGTAATCTAAGGTTTTAACAGTGTTAGTCCCTCAAAGTATAACTTCCTTATGCCAAAGAGGAAGACATCACCTACTGATACTATTGTACAAGCTGTGCCTGAAAATTCTTTCCTGGGCCTTGTTGTAATCAATACAATCTATAGTAATGTACATGACGCCTTGTCTGAAAGAAAAGAAATATGATAGTTAAAGGAGAAAAATACTGGAAGATGATATATGAAGCAAAAAAATCTTAGCACAGGATTGATGCTTTCTGCTTTATGTAAATGATGCTGTTGAGAGAAAGGATAACTTTATATATGTCTACTGTCTGTGTCTTTAAAAGATTGTTTGTCTTCTAACTTGTTCTTTTGTCTGTTTTTTCCCCCAGACCAAGAAATGTCATGGTATATAACTGTACCACAGGTGGCACCAATCCTTTCCACTGGGGTGAAGTTGGTATGCTATGTTTCTTTTTTTCATAAGCTTTAATAGAAAAATACAGTCAAATAATAAAAGTACAGGCTATAATCAGTAGGTCACATCGCATTTTTATTGTTGAAACCAGTATAATAGCCGTACCTCTCAATTTTGCAATGTATTGTGCATTTTTCATTATCTTCCATTGGTAATTCTCTCCCCTTGTAGCATTATCACTGTTTCATTTTCTTCTTGTTTTTTTTTTTTTTTAATTCTGTTATGACTTAAACTATGGGAGATCTGATTTTTCTGTTTGCTGCTGCCATGACCCAATCTTCAGAGTGCAGGTAGTGTGCAGAGAAAACTATTGCTCAGAGGAGCAGTAGTGATGTTGGATTTAATGCCGACTTTACTAAATACATATCAATAAACAGCCCACGACTAGATGTTTTGTACGTCTGCATAATTGAGAGGTATGATAATAGTTTTGCACTTGTGTAGCTCTTTATTGTGTTTGGCTTAAGTTAATTGTTGGTTGAGGTGGCTTTTTTAACCTTCAGGTAGCTATGTGAGACTTCAACTATTCATGTACAGAGCAAAGTAATCTTTAAGAGAGTATGGCCACCTATTTTCAACTCTTAGATACCCTGACTAGAATGTAACCGACATGCCAAAAGCTTTGTGATAGTTTTTATTATAAATAGCAATATAAGCTGACTGGCATGGTAAAGCTTTGCCAGAAATGGTTTAGATTTCAGTTTTTTAGAAGTGGAGTTCTTAAGCTCAGATTATTTTTTTTTTCTTTCACTGAAATACTTTATTTTATTTCTCTTGACTACTTTCTTCATGCTTTTTCCTTGCTTTTGCCCGTTTTGTATGTATCTGTATTTATAAACCTTATCGCTTCAGCCAAACTTGGAAAATTGCTGACTTCATTTATATCCCAATTTGAAATGGGGCATTTAAACACTGTCTATAATAGCAGCAGAAAGTTACAAGAGGTGATTACAAAGATGAGGCGAATTTCAAAGTAACTTTTTAGGACACTGATCCTCCGTATCTGTTATGTATGGAATTTTCTGGTGTCAACAGGAGTTTCTCGTGGAGTCCCATCCTAATAGCTTTTTTCCTAATGCTTAAATATGGATAAGTTGTTTAAAAAATGTCATTTGAAATACACTTCAGATGCATGCAATGTCCTCAGTCTGTTTTTAAATTATTCTTCACACAAGAGATTAGAATAGTCTTCTTCATGAAATATAGATGACTATTTAAATAGCATTATATGCTATATAAACTGAAATTGCTGTGAATTTTGAAGTCAACAACTTCTAAGATAGGGAAGAGGAACAGAAAGAGAGAAGCTACAATAAAATATGATTCTGAAGGTGAAGGCATAAGACCTCTTGATTATAAGAAGAACCAGTTTAACAGTATTTTAACTTAAAAGTGTATGACTTTGTTTTAGTTTCTGTGGATTGTAGAAGAGTTAGAGTGGCTACTGAAATGACATACTGAAGTAAATATTGTACGCTGTAATATACTTTGAAAACCATTCAATTTCATATGGTTATTATCAAAGCTGTTACGCAACTTTTCTTTCTCAGAATACCATGTAATTTCTACTTTCAAGAGGAATCCTCTCGAGCAGGCCTTCAGACGGCCCAATGTAAATCTAACTTCCAATCACCTTTTGTATCATTACTGGATTGCTGTAAGCCATAAGGCCCCAGCATTCCTGTATGATATCTACCTCAGGATTACTGGAAGAAGCCCAAGGTAATGGTGACTAGCTCTGTCTTGTCTGTTCCTCTGGCTTTTAAAAAAAGCTATGCTTACACCATAATGTATATTGATTATTCTAATTTTTTTTTCTTTCCCTGAATGCTTTGTGACTAAAACTCAGCCTTTTTTTCCTGAGAACAGGTCCTTGAATTCAAAGTGACTTTGAACTTAATAGCAAAAATGAGGATGTCTTTGTTGGCTAGTTTGGGGCTTTGAGTAGTCAAGGTGAACAGAATTACAAGATCTAGCAAGTGATGTTTGTTCTTGAATAATAAATATTCAAAATATGTTGATCCTTATTTTTTCCTACAGGATACCACATTAACTTGAATTTCAAGATAAATCCATTAGAAGGTGCAGTAAGGCACCCTAACTTTAGCTTACAATCCAACCCCCTCTTGGGTCAATATTGGATTCTAGTCAGCCATACAATTCCTGCATTTTTGCACGATCTTGTGCTCAGATTGACAGGTCATAAACCATGGTAAGAAAGACAGGCCTAAAAGTATCTTGCTAGTAAGGTGGTGGAGACTTGTGAAGAAGACATGGCATGGGCATTATCTATAATTACTAACTAAGCAATAACAATCCAGTGGTGGTGTTTCTAAGAGATTAACGACTGGCTCAACAATGTTATCCAAGATGTGTCTCGGATCAGAGTCCTAGTCAGTCATTAAACTCTAGGAAGTGGCTTGCATTAAGATTGTTGTTGCTATTATAAACTGAAAATGGAATGGGAGACGGAGATAATAATTGCGGGTTATTCCTGTAGATGATACAACATGATCTGGTATGTTGGTTTGTATCATCTCAACGTTCCATTCAGTTTATAATATTTACACTAGCATCTAGCTAACTTCTTAAGTGGTAAAGATGGCATTGCTCTTAAATAGGCTAAACTAAATTATGTAGAAAGAATATAAGATGTCACTTCAATTTGTTTCAGATTTGCCAAGCCATATGATCTTAACTCATTGCATATGTTATGTTTTCAAAAGTATTTGTCTTCAGACTCTGTAAAATCTCCACTGTGGTGACAGTGTATTGACACAAGTGAGTATTCATTCATTGTCCTGTAGTCTAGGTCTGTCTTGCAAGGAGGGGAAAAGTTCTGTAACAGACTTGACACTGGATCAATAGAAAGAAGCCATGTGAGTGGTTTGTAGGAGAAAACTTCTAAGCTGCATTGGGTTCTGTTGTTCCAAGCCTACTCAACAGTGTAATACTCCCAGCAATAGTAGTGGCAGGAGGCTGCGCCTATATGGTAATCTTCCCACATTAAAAAGATGTAAGCTCTTCGGATCAAGAGAAGGTATTGAATGTACAAGTTCCTAGCTTTTAGGCTCTTCTGCGATTTTAAGTTATTCTTAATAAAAATTGATAGAAATTCCCTCACAGATGTGAAGACTTTATCACTCACTAAAAATAGTTGTACTATAAATGCCAGCCTACTGTTGGAAAGTAGTACTGCCAGAATCTTGTAAGTCTTTAAAAGGCATCTAGCCTTTTAAGTGTTTGACCAGTGGGAGTAAAAGAAGGCTGTGAATAATCATGTTATTTAGAACACTTAGCAGGCTTATATTATAACACTGGAATGTTGAATCTTGTTTTTGTTTTTCCTGGAGTTCTTACTTGATGTCCAAAGGTGGAATTTAGAACTTTATTTAGTACTCGTACAATTGGTGACGTTAATTATGTATTTTCAAGCCTGTGAAGTATTACTGATCTGAGTATTTCTAGTTAGTTTAATATAACAGTGAGTGGGTGAGTTTCCTATCATGCACAAGACTTACAGTTTGAAGGAACGATGGGAGATTCAACTAAAACAAGCTATTGTTCAGTCACTAAGGTTACTCAAATACACTTGAAAGAAAAGCTTTTAAGTTTGATACCCCTCCTGCTTACAGGAATATAGCCTTCATTATATAGCACTCTTCTTTTTTCTTCTTAAAGCACTTAAAAAATGGGAGCCTGCAGTAGGCGCAATAGAAGCAAATGAATATATAGGTGCAAGCAAGACATGCAGTCTTAAATGGGCTTCATGTGTTTAATAATAGAAAGAAATTGAGACAGATCTTTACTCTTCTACTTTTTCCTAGTCTTCTGGCTCAAAGTACTTTGAAAGCTGCTTTAACAGATGGGCTGGAGACTTTCACAGTATAGGGATGTGCTACTGTTGCTGTGGTCATCCTGTCTAGTTGACAGAATGGGTTTAATAACCAGGTAGCATATGCTAGAAAACTTCTAAAGCCTTGGGAACATTATTAGAGGTTCTTAAACTCAATATAATGTTGTTCTGAGTGAAAAAGGACTTGCTTAACTTAAAATGTGGCTTTTCTCCACCACTATTTAGCAGAAAAACTTGAGCAGTATAGCAAAAATGTAGTAAAATCAGCACAAAAAAATTCAAATACCGTGCTAACTTGGCTTCCCATGATCAATGGCTTGCCTTCTCTGTGCTGAGTCTGAATACACTTCTGAAGTCTTTATTGTGTACAATGTAGGAGAAACTCTTAAGCAATGAAATTACTGTAGGTTTAACTGCACTATTGTCATACTGACAAGATATTGTACTGCAAATGAATGAGAAATTTTTAACAAGTGGAAGAAATAGATCAGGCCTATGACCCTTTAGAACTAAAGGATTATGGTCATAATAATAATTAAAAAAAAAATTCTTGTTCAGGGTTTTTCAAAAACTTACCTGTTTAAATATTTCTGCAGTATGAAATCATTCTTTTCGCCTCACTTGAAGTAATGTTTTTAGTGAGATGGAAATCTTTTTGCTGTTTTTGCATCTGGTTGAAGGTTCTTGAATTCAGTAATTCTCTCTTAATATTAACAGCTAAGGAAAGGGAAAGAAGAAATAGTACATATAATATTTCTTCCAAGTTTTATAGAAAGAACATGTACAATAAAGACTGGTGTAATGAAGATTTAATATTTTATACTAAATACTTAAGACTGTAATTGCACAATGCTGTAACATAAATAATGGTGATAATCCTTAGCATCCATGTGTAAGGATAGTGTTGTCAGTAGCTTGCCATACATATTTAGTTGCATGGCAAAGCTTATTAATTGTCTGATAATATAAAGTATAGTTTTCTCTTGTAACTTTGCATAGTGCTTAGCACAACAGAACCATATGTTACTGTTGTGGTTTAACCCGGCAGGCAGCTAAAACAACCACACAGCCTTTGCTCACTCCCCTTCTTCCCTGTGCTTCCCCTTCCCCCCTGCAGTGGGATGGGAGAGAGAATAGAAAAAAATTTTAAAGTTGTAGGTTGAGATAAAAACAATTTAATAGGACAGAAAAGGAAGAGAATTATAATGATAAAAAGATGCAAAAGTGATGCACAGCACAGTTGCTCACCACCTGCTGACTGATGCCCAGCTAGTTACAAAGCTGCAGCCCTCCTTGGCCAGCTGCCCCCAGCTTATATACTGAGCATGACATTATATGGTATGGAATATCCCTTTGGCCAGTTTAGGTCAGCTGTCCTGGCTGTGCCCCCTCCCAGCTCCTTGTGTACCTCCCTGTGAAAGACTTATGCCTCCTTGCTGGCAGAGTCTGGGAAGCTGAAAAGTCCTTGAGTTAATTGCAAACACTGCTTAGCAACAACTAAAACATTAGCATGTTGTCAACATTATTTTCATACTAAATCCAAAACACAGCACTATACCAGCTACTAGGAAGAGAATTAACTCTATTCCAGCAGAAACTAGGACAGTTATTTAAAAACAATTCACTATATTTTAAATCTTAAAACCTTTAAAAATATACACCCAGCAGATCTTTCCAGTTAGTCTGAAAGAACAGAACGTAGCATGCAATACTTGTAATTCCAGGATTTCTCCAGCAATTGACTTTCTGTTACTGCTTCTTAAAAAGCTGAAGTGAAGGTGTGGTTGATGTATTTAGGGAGGTGTAAAATTTTGTATCTATCACTTCAATTTAAAGCCTCTTAAAACTTAATATGAAGCACCTTTCACATAGTTACTGTCTTACAAACCAGAAATGAGTAAAGAGTACACTTTTATTGAATAGATTAATAAGTTTTTTCTTCTTGGAAGCACTTCTAAGTTGTGCACTTAAAGGAACCACAGAGCTGCTGGAAAGATAAGAATTCCATTAGTGTGTTTTACACTTCAAAATCCGCATCTACATGAAAATCTGAACAAAGACAAATCTGAAAACTTTTTTAATGTATTTTAGAGCAATCTTTTTAAAAAATAATAATAATTAGTTATCTCTAATGCTTATGCAGAGACTTTCAGATTGGCAGCCTGTAGATCAGCTGAAGGATCGGTCTGCCTTTAGCATCAGAACTGTTTTTAGCCTGGAGACAATAGGTTGTGTGTAAGACTTCAAAATGCAGTCAATAGCCTTAAGCCAGGTTGCTTACAGTTGTCTGGTATAGAAACATGCCCATCTAACTTACAGATAATTGAGTTAATTATTGCTTAAAACTTTTAATTCCTGTGATGTGCTTCTCAAACTGTTACGGTTTTTTGTGTTAATGGCAGTAAGGACTGCCTAGTAGAGGCAAAATTCTACTTGGTATTTAGGTGAAAGTTTTGCATGCTGTCACACTGACTTGCTGGCTGCTGCTAATGTTCTTTATGATGATCAGCAGGTCTGATTTTTTTCTGTCTTCAGCTTATGAAGAAGGTGTGATGCAATGCTTGATCGTATACTGACTGGTTATATATGGCTTTGATATTTATGACTTGTATCCAATGGCTATCTCTGGAACAACCTGTGAAGTGTATATTTCAAAACTTCAGGTTGAGAGATAAAGTTCCGTTATGTGTTTTCATGCTCTTTTTTGAGCTGTGTGTGTATTCCCATTTGTAGGACGAATATGGTGCCATTGAAGTTATAAAACTTAGTTTGCCAGATCTAAACAAGTGTCCACTAAATGACACTCATTGCCGACATCTCTGAATATGAGAGGCTGTCACCATACTTGAAAATGTAGTTTCATGTTGATTTAGAGCAAACTAACAAACTGTCACCAAGAAAGTCGGTCCTATTCTGCCAACCTTGTAATTGATCTGGTGGTTGAGAGAATGTGGACACATTTCATTCTTTTAGCTGATATATCCAGACACTAACCCTACAAAGAAAAAAAAAATTTCCACTGATAAATTGAATCAGTTGGTTCTGTGGCCAATTACTAAATCCAATTTGCGTTGTAGGGAGGGGAAAAAATTTGCAGCTGAGGTAAGGAACTCTTTTTAATCAGCTTAGCTATACTCTAAAACCATATCCATAAGTAGAGACAGCAAGATTCCCAGCAGAGGTTAGTCTTTACATTAGTTAAAATTTAGTTTAATTTTTCTGTACAGAAAAGAGCAAAAACCAATGTCAGTGGCCAGTAACAAGCACAAAATCTACACCTGTCTGATCAGATGTTCATTTGCACCATTTAGTATTTTGCAGGGGCACAAGTCTTAATCTGTAGTAAGTCTAAGCGCTCTAAAACTTAGCTGCTCTTCAGGCTTAGCATAAGAACACAAATTGGGAAGGCACAAAAGGGCAAGTCAACTAAGTTAAATAATCTTAAGACTGTCAGTGGACAGACCTTTGCAAAAAGTCTTAAGCGCTTAGCCACCATGTCCTGTTTGGCACTATTTTTATCCAGGCCATTTTGCTATGAGGTCTTTCTGGCTTAACTGACCAGTGAGATCTTTGCTTTCCAAGTTTTGAGTTCTTTTCTGAATTTTTTGACTTAACTATTATGCTTTTTTTTCATGTTCAGTTTTGTTAGCACAGGATATGTTTTGTATGCATAGTCTACATTCCTAATTATTTTTGAATCAGAAGAACTCTAGTTCAACTCAGCTCCCACTGTTGCTGCCTTGCCCAACCGTTGAAACTATAAATAGGTGTGTGAAAGCATCTGGAAATGTCTACTAATAAAATTAGCTGGTGGTCTAAAATTTTAATACAATTCTGAATTTTACTCTGTGAATAGGTTCCTATAAGGTTTAAGGAAATATATTTGTGCTTTTTCTGCTTTAGAGATACTCTGCTTTTTTCAGTAGTCTCTGCAATTTGTATTACTCCATTTCAAGAGAAAGAGGCAATTTTGATATTCCCTTAGATATGGCGATGCCAGCCATTTGTGACAGTAGGGGACTGTTTAGAAGAGTTTCTGGGACGATGTGCTATATCCCTTCTACAAGTATGAATGCATCAAGGCAGCTTTCAGAGAAAAATCAGTGGTTTTTTTATTGCTTCTATGAACTTCATTGAACAAAACTTAACTTCAGAAAGCCATTTCCTGTTAGTGCTGGGTTGGTCTGCTTTCTTTGCCTCCCTACCCCCCCGCCCCTTGCTTAAAATGATCAGTGTGTCCTGCTATAAGGATCAAATTGGAATCAGTTCTGAGAGCTGGAAATAGCTCAAGCACCCAAAGCAGGAATTTAATAGGATTAGGTTATGAAGTACTAGTTAGTACTTACTAAAATTGAGTGACTCTTTCTAGCACTGAAACGCTTAAATTTTCTTGTCATAAATGAGGGAAATTTGCATCCGAGAGACTGGATGACTCACATTTTTTGAGTCCACTTCAGATAGTCTGATCAAAGAGAAACTTGCCCAAATTGATCCTTATAATTTCTCTGTACTCCAAGTGATGTTTTTGTAGAGTTGCTTCCTCTGCATAATAAGAGAGGATGGAAGGTGTTTCTGCATATTTTGAAGTAGCATAGAACTGATCACAGCAGGATCTGCTGTGCCCTGTTTGTGCCTTTAAATATTTTCCTGCCCTTTGCTGCAGAAGCAGTAGGGTTAAGGGGCTAAGCCATATTTTTGGTGGTTTTAAGCCTCGATCTTTTAGTGGCCATAACAAACCAATTTCGTTACAGAGATCTGGTCTTGCACAGTGTGTGAGAAAATCAGGGAAACTTACTCCCTTGCTTAAAGTTGTCATGTTCATATGTTTTGCACTGTGCAATTTGACTCTTTCATCAAATCAAACTGCTCAGTACAGCTAGATATTCCAGTATGCTGAAAAATGTTCTGTGTCCTAAAATAAGAGTTACCAACAGAAGAACACATTTTACCATCTCTGCTTTTTTTTAGGGAAAAAACTTACTAGTGCACTGGGAAGTAGGATTAGGAAAAAAGGATTGTCCTATAATTTCTGTCTCTAAAAAGATTGGACAGTCATGGTCCGCTCTAATAATATGCAGAAACATCCTGTTGATCTAATATACTTTGGGTACAGAGCAAGGTGGGATATGTTAACATAGGGGTGTGGGGTTGGAGGGTAAAAAAATTTACAATCTTACTGTTTTTCCTTTTTGAACTAACCTTTACCATTGTAACCTGTACATTCCATGCCTTGGACTGTAGGATGATGAAAACAATAACACGTCTTCATAAGGCCATGATGGTATTAGAATACTTTACAAGCAATTCTTGGATCTGGAATACTGAAAATATGACTATGCTAATGAACCAGCTAAACCCTCAAGACAAAAAGGCAAGTAGCTGTGTTATGTGGGCATGGGGACTGAAAGTGAAATATAAGCTTCTTGATTTAAGAGTGAATAAGGACCTGAACTGGTAATGCTGCTTACTGTAACACAGAGCTAACCTTAGCACTAACTCAGCGCTGGAGATTTGTGATGCATCCTTTCAGTTGTGCCAGGGCTGTCTTATGAGCTAGATCAGTGGTGTGATCAGAGATGAGGAAGGGCAGGACCTCCTTGAAGGAGGCCTGATGTAAAAGATGGTTGTCTTTGGAGTGGCCTGATCATGTGATCTGGTGTTGCCTATGTAGCAACCAGATGGCCAAGCTGTTACGTTTTACCCACGTCGTGAATAAAACAAGGCTTTGCTTCCTGACCGCTATGGAAGCATGGACTTGAGGATTTCATGTCTGTATAACAGCTTCTAAATCTGAATACAGTTTCACTGCATGAAACTGTTTGCTTGTCTCTTGTTCCTGTAATGATCTTGCTTATTCTTTTACCTGAAACAAAATTGGCAAAGTTAAAAACCTACTAGGAAAATCTTGATATTTATTGGGACTTAAACAGCTTAATCTTGAGATGAGGAAATCGATACATCTACGAAAAACTTGAGTTGTGAATTTACTGTAGTACCTTCTCTCCTGAGGAAGATACTCACATGGTTTTTCTTAAAATGTAGCTATACCACTATAAGCACAGCTAAAAGAACTCTATTAAACACTGGACTTGCCACAGAGCAGTGTAGATTCTACAGCATATTAGAATTTTGTTGCTTAAAAGGAAACAACATAATAGAAAATAGTTCTTTCTAGAGTGGAATTCCTTACAGACAGATCAAATGGGAAAGCAGTGCACGTGGAAATTCAGGGAAGAATATTACTGCTGAGGAGGAAAAATAAGGCATGAAATTGTTGAAATTTGGAAGAGATGGTGTAAGAAGCTGGTGGTTGAGTCAGAAGTGGGATCTAAATCTGGATCGTTCTTATGATTAAGGACAAGATAATTCCAGTTTTTCTTTGATGCAAGAAAGTTATCTGGTATAAAGGCATTTATTCTCCTGTATTATATATATCAGGAGAATTTTTAGGCAACTAACAGTGAATGCTTTTATTTTATACAGACGTTTAATTTTGATGTTCGACAACTACATTGGGCAGAATACATGGAAAATTACTGCATGGGAACAAAGAAATATGTGCTGAATGAAGAGATGTCTGGCCTCCCCGCAGCTAGGAAACACTTGAATAAGTAAGTAGAAATGTTTATTTTCCTCTATTTATGTATTCTGCATTTTCCTGCCCTTGTTAAGTTTTGCTTTTCCATGTTATGACTTAATTGTTCTCTATAGCACCTGTTTAGATCCTCCACAATTATTCTGTTCCAGTCCAGTGGTCTGAAGCATTTTCTAAAGAAGTCAGATGTCATCTTTTTTGTTTTATTTGTTGCTCCTGAGTTGCTCTCTGTATTAATAGTTACAATATTAGTCTGGGAGTATGGTTGTAGCTCTGATCACTAGTGTGTACTGTAATCCAGGTTTCTGATTTTACCCAAGTGTCTTTTGGAAGGTAAAGGTACACAGTAACACAAGGTCGGAATGGCTTGTTCAGTTAAGGACGTTTAATAAACAATAGTTGTTTCTTCTGGGAATGCAATCTTTTGTAGCAGGCAAGTAAACAGGCATGGACTCTCTACCTCAGAGCAGGAAACTTTTATGTTGGTGCTCTGACATGACTTCTAGCCTTTTATCTGTGGCTTAACTCCTCCAATTTGAATATGTTGTTACTGTCCGGCATTTTACTGGCACAGTTGCCCTTGTTTTGTTCTTGGCTGATTCATAATGACAGTTGTAGACCTTCTGATTTGTTTCTTTAAAGAATGAAATAGGTGATTAATCTTGTTCTGCAATACTACTTCACATCTGCTATCCTGATAGCACAAAGTGGTCTAAATCATTACTTGGGCCATTCTTCTAAAGACAAGGATTTGCAGTTCTAGAGCGCATTGGCATGATATGTTATGATCTCAAATACAGAATCATAGAATGGTTTGAGTTGGAAGGGACCTCAAAGATCGTCTAGTCCCAACCCCCCTGCCATGGGCAGGGACACCCTCCATTAGACCAGTTTGCCCAAAGCCCTATCCAACCTGGCCTTGAATGCTTCCAGGGAGGGGGCATCTGTAACGTCTCTGGGCAACCTGTTCGAGTGCCTTACCACACTCACAGAGAAGAATTCTTTTTCCTAATATCTAATCTAAATCTACCCTCTTTCAGCTTAAGGCCATTACCTATTGTCCTATCACTACATGCTGTTGTAAAGAGTCCCTCTCCAGCTTTCTTGTAGGTCCTCTTTAGGTATTGGAAGACCACAATAAGGTCTACCCAGAGCCTTCTCTTCTCCAGGCTGAACAACCCCAACTGTCTCAGCCTGTCTTCATAGGAGAGGTGCTCCAGCCCTCTGATCATCTTCGTGGCCTTCCTCTGAACTTGCTCCAACAGCTTCATGTCTCTCTTGGACTGAGGACCCCAGAGCTGGACGCAGTATTCCAGGTGGGGGTTTCACAGGAGCAGAGTAGAGGGGCAGAATCACCTCCCTTGACCTGCTGGTCACACTCTTGATGCAGCCCAGGACATGGTTGGCTTTCTGGGCTGCAAGTGCACATTGCAGAGTCATATTGAGCTTCTTGTTCACCGACACCCCAGAGTCCTTCTCAAGGCTGCTCTCAGTCCATTCTCTGCCCAGCCTGTATTTGTGCTTGGGACTGCCCTGACACATGTGCAGGACCTTTGCCTTGGCCTTGTTGAACTTCATCCAGTTCGCACGGGCCCACCTCTCAAGCCTGTCAAGGTCCCTCCTGGACGGCATCCTTTCCCTCCAGTGTGTCAACCACACCACACAGCTTGGTGTCATCGGCACACCCGCTGAAGGTGCACTTGATCCCGCTGTCCATGTCGCCGACAGAGATGTTGAACAGTGCCGGTCCCAGTACCAACCCTTGAGGAATGCCAGTTGTCACTGACCTCCACTTGGACGTGGAACTATAGACTGCAACTCTGAGTGCGACCATCCAGCGAATTCCTTGTCCACTGAGTGCCCCATCCATTGAATCCATGTCTCTCCAATTTAGAGATGAGGATGTTGTGTGGGACAGTGTCACATGCTTTGCACAAGTCCAGGTAGATGACGTCAGTTGCTCTTCCCTTATCCACCAATGCTGTAACCCTTTTGAAGGCCACCAAATTTGTCAGGCACGATTTGCCCTTAGTAAAGCCATGTCACTGATCACCTTATTTTCCATGTGCCTAGTTCTGTAGGGGGATCTGCTCCATGATCTTGCTGGGCACAGAGGTGAAACTGACCAGCCTGTAGCTCCCTGGGTCTTCCTTTTTTCCCCTTTTTAAAAATGGGGGTGTTATTTCACCTTTTCCAGTCAGTGGGAGCTTCACTGGACTGTCACAGATTCTCCTAATATGATGGATAGTGGCTTAACAACTTCATCCACCAGTTCCCTTGGGACCTGCAAATGCATCTCATCAGGTCTTTTGAAAGATGGTAATCTTTGATAATGGTGGGGATAGCTGAAGAGGTGTCCCATTCTGATTTTTTTTTTTAAATTTAGGTGCTGTTAAAAAATGCATAGGAGTTATCATACAGTTACCATTCTTTGTATAAAGGATTGTACCAAAAATAACATGAGAAATAGTCTTGTATTGGAACAGCATCAGGTTGCCCCCTGCTCTCTGTTTATAAGTGGGTTATTTTGCAAGAGATTTAGATCCCAACATATATTGACTCTGAGGTAATAGGTTGGTCTCTTCTGTTACCATCTAGTGCTTAACTCTAATCTGAACTTGAGGAGTCCATTGCTTCAGTATTAACCAGATGTGGCAGGCTAGGTAATTTGACTTCTCTAGGAAACTACTGAGTAAAATTTTTCCTCAAATAGAAAAGTGAGCTTTACTCTTGTAATACGGAAATTTAGATTGTTTTTTCTACAAATAAGGTATGTAAAGCAAGGTCTGGCTATAGCAACACCCAGTCTACATGTAAAACAAGGTAAAGGGCAGTGAGTATTTCCTTAAAGAGCTGCCTTTAAAATACAAATTGTCGTGATCTGCTGAA